CTAGTTCTTAATGGACCTTTATTCTGCTCTTACTTTGTGGTTCCATTCCTCCGGCATCTTGTATCCCTGACTGACAGCGCCTTGGTTGATGTGAGACCTACTTTTGCACTCTCACTCTGCAAAAAGCACTTTTTTTCTAAGGTGAAAGCTGTGCAAGGGCCTTTCTTCTTTTAGAGCAATTAAAATACTCTCCAGAGTCTTAAGAACAAATGTAGCACATTACTATAGGGGTGAGGCTGATGGTGGTAGAGACTGGTTAGAAGTTAAGAATGCCGGCACGTAGAAGAGGCTGAGCTCAGCTTTGGACACGGAGCGTTACTGAGCCACCCCTCTCCCACCTCAGTTGCTGAAGATCAGTTCTTTTCTGGCATGAAGCCTAAGAACTCAAATAACTTCACTGCACATTAGGCTCCTGCCCCGGAACATTCTGAAATCTGACAGGTCTCCTCCGAGTTGTGTCTGCTATGTAAGTTTCTCCTTGCTCACTCTTGAAAGTTGAATGCATTGGGCTCTTTGCCAAACAGATTTCCACTAGTGCATCCGGCAGTTATTTACTCACTAATTCAACAAAAATCTTTGGGACACTCACTACAGACGTATTTATTCAGCATATATTTACACATTTCTTAAGAAACTAAAGCCCTCTACATGCCAGAAACAAAGCAGGGAAAAACAATCCAACAAGTGGCAGACTCTGCCCTCCTGGCACCGCAGACTGATGAGAGAAGCAGAGTGATCAGACGATTGTACTGGTTGATGTACAACAGCAACAGGATGTGAACCAAAAAGCAGAGGTACTTAGTGTGGACAGGAGGATACTCTGAAGGGTGGGCAAGTCTCTCCTGAAGAAGTGATGACTGGCTAAGGGGGGAAAAAAAGAGTAATTTTCTAGAAAGAAAGCTCACTTTGATGGGAGTGAGTGTGGTGCATTCCATAAACTTAAGGAAAATCCACGGGGTCACCAGGCATTGTGGTGAATGCCGGTGATCCCAGCAGTTTGGGAGTGGGTAAGTGTCCCTGGGTTCAAACCCCAGTAGAAGAAAAAAAAGTAAGTAAGAAAGAAAGAAAATCCATGGGGCTGGAGGACTGGGAGACAAGAGGAACCGCAATGTCACTGAGGGCTGGAGGCCTGAGCAGGAGCCGTCGTGTGGAGGGTGTGTTCCCAGGTCAGAATGCTAAGTTGATGGGAAGACATTACATGGTTTAGGCCAGAGCTGACATGCACAGCTCTGAATTCTGGAATGAACACCAACTGCAGTATCCATAATGTGTTAAAATGACAGGAAGGGGCACAGGAGCTCAGGGGCCATTTTAGTAGGAGAGATGCTGGTGGTTTGACAGGGTGCGGGGTGGAGGGTGAAGATGGAGAGAATGGATGAGAGGTTTTGCAGAAATTGATAGCTGAACTTCGTGACGGTAATTTCATACTAAGAACTGACTGGGGAACGGACAGCCAGCCAGAGAGAGGACAGGACATGGGACTGCCTGGGTGTGGACTGAGCCTTCAGTGTGCTGCTGCTTGATAAAAATTTGGGTATTTAACTAGTGATATTATTGACTTCTACAAGGTAATCATGAAAAATTCTCAAGACATTTTTATAACTCTTCAGTAACCAAAATTGTATATGATCTTTTATTCCCAGAAACATTTTTGTGTTGTTCTCACTGTTTCTTTGTATGGTAGAAATAATATAATTAAGAACTACCCAAGATGAAAAGAAAATAATGCTCATCTACATTCTCAAACATCCCTGAATCACTTATCAGATGTAACCATGGTTACCAAGTACTCCTGGATGCCTTGAAGATGTCTCCATGCAACACACACGCACACACACACACGCTCACACACACACACGCTCACACTCATACACATACACACATAGGTACATGCATACTCACACACACACACACACACATACATATACACATATTTGCATATAAGATCTTTATGTTCAAAAGATAATATTATGCAGACTAACATATATTAAACATTATACTTGTAAATATTTCCGTATTAGTACTTACAGGTCTAGTTAAAACAGTTGAAACAGGATCCATTGCATGGTCTACCCTTAGCTTGTCGATAAATTAAACTTAGTAATTTTGAATTGTTTTTCTATTTCAAATAATTTTGCATTAAACATTTTTTGATCTGTAGCATCTATACTTCTATGTAGAATAAATTTGTAAAAGATTACTGGGTTAGAGACAAAACAGAAGGCTATATAGATAGATACATAGAGCTATATAGATAGATTTGCATCTGATAAACATCCCAGTTTATCTTCTGTAAACCTTAAATTTTTTTCAAAAAGTCCTACCCATTTACTGACTTTGTTTTTAAGGTAAAAATATATTTGGGTAACTCACTTTCAGAATAAGGCCATATTTTTCTTTACATATTGCCACATTGAATTAGTAAATAAGTAGAACCTAAAAGAACAAATAATATTGAGGACGACTAGCGGCAGGTAAGGTGTTGCTGAAGGAAGCAGGCTAGCTTCCAGGACCATGCCTTTAGGATTCATATTTTATCCCTGGTGAGAGGAGCTCTCTCTAGCTTCCTGGCTGTGGTGTCCTGAGCTGCCTTGTGCTGCCAGGATTTCCCGCCATGATATTTTGCCTCAGTTTTGCCCAGAGCAATGGAGTCAGCCCACTGGCCCTCCAAAACAATGAGCCAAAATTAACCTTTCCTCCTCAAAATTGTTTTTGTGGGATATATTGTTCACAGCCACACAAAGCTGCCTAAAGCAGGTGAATGCAAAAAAGAATGGGCTGTACAGATTCAAGAAAGAGCCTTTAACCAAAGCATATTGTTAGCTCAGAAACCGAATCGGGAATACATAAAAAATAAAACTACAAAAATGCAGGCAACTGAACAGAAGGTCTTGAAAGGGGAGCTATCTAGTTATACAATGAGAAGGGGCAAGAGGTCCTGGTGCAGACGCTAGGTTAGACACGCTGGCGGGACAGAAGAGATTTTGAATGAGGATGCCCCTACATGTTAAAATTCAGTGGGGTTGTTTGTGGGGAGATGACTGTTTTTAAATTTCCTTTCTCTCTCTCCCTCCCTCCCTCCCCCACCTCTCTTTGATTAATTTTTGGTACGCAGGGATGCTTAACCACTGAGCCACACCCCAGCCCTTTTTTGGTATTTTATTTAGACACGGGGTCTCGCTGAGTTGTTTAGGGCCTCGCTAAACTGCTGTAGCTGGCTTTGAACTTAAGATCCTCCTTACTCAGCCTCAGGAGCCGCTTTTCAATAGCTCTTGTAAGGAGACACACGGTCTTGTAAAGAGGCAGCATGGTCTTCTTTTAACAACAAAAAGCTTTATAAACAGCACGGGAGCCCCCAAAGGGAACTAGAGAAAACGAGATCCAAAGTCCTGTTGTCTATTATCATTCTCAATTCATACCTCCCTTCCTGTATGTCTGCTCTCCCCCTCTAAAAACAAAATCAAACAAAGCACAGTAAAAATAAAAACAGTGCAACCGCGATGCACAGCGGTGCAAGAGCAGGATCGCGGCAAATCGCCCAGTTCCCTTCCTTCCTAACTCTCAACTTCCGACCCCTCCCAGGTGGAGATTCATGCACCGACTCTCCAGTGCTTTAGCGTTATTTCTCCAATCATAGCTGTGTCTGTTTCGGTGACGTCACAGTCTTGTTTCCTTCCTAGCAACACAATCTCTGGGCACGGATTCTGGGTAAACTTGGAAACCCCAAACGCCAGTTCTAGCTCCCGGTGAGGAGCTCCCTGGGGCTGCACTGCCGGAGGCTGACCACCAGAGGGCAGTCCCCGCCCAGGGGCCTTGGGCGAGGGTGACGTCGCTCTCGGGCGCAGCCTCCCAGGTTCCAGGAAAGGGAGTCAGGTTCTACGCTGGCCGCGGTGGACGCGCGACAGGACTCTGTTGTTAAGGGACTGTTCGCCCTCAATGTGGTCGGTTGGAGACTCGGAGTTTACTTTTCTCACAAATTTGACAGCATATTTACGCCCTGTCCCAAGTGAGGCCGACCGCGGGCAGCGAGAGCAACCGCAAGGCGGAGATTCGGTTCCGGTGCGGTGACGATCCCGCCCTAGGGATCAAAACGACCCCACCCCAGGTGAGACCTGCCATCATAACAACCCGCTTCTGGAAAAGCCTGGCTCCTGGACAGCCGACCCCACCCCAGGATAACCCCGCCTCTGCACAGCCCCTGGAACAGCGCTGCATATGGACAGTCCCGCCTCTGGGCAGACCCGCCTCTGGACAGACCCGCCTCTGGACAGACCCGCCTCTGGGTCGCCAGCCCCCAGGATAGCCCCGCCTCTAAATAGCCCCGCCTTTGGACTGCCTGCCCCCTCCCCGACGGCTCCGCCCCTGGATGGCCACTCCTCTGGACAGTACCGCCTTTGGGTAGACCTGCCCCTAGGAAGTCCCCGCCTCTGGACAGCCCGCCCCTGAAGCAGCCTCTCCACTGGTTAGCCCCACCTCTGAATAGCCCCACCTGTGGGTAGACCCGCCTCTAGATAGCCCCGCCTCTGGACTGCCCAACTTCGGGAGAGCCCAGCCACGGGATGGCCCCGCCGCTGGACGGGCCCGCCGCTGGACAGCTCCGCCTCTGGATCGGTCATTTCTGGACAGATACCCCTCTGGACAGTACCGCCTCTGAACAGCCCGCAAAGGGACAGCCTGCACTGCTAAAGGCTGACCATCAGAGGGCTCAATCTCTGGATGGCCCACCACCGGGACATCCCCGCCTCTGGACAGCCCCTCTCCCCCATCACAGACCACCTCTAGGATAGGCCCGCCTCTGGACGCCCCGCCTCTGGACAGCCTCCCTGCAGCACAGCCCGCCTCCAGGATAGCCTCGTCTCTGGCTAATCGCTCCTCAGGAGAGCCCGCCTGAGACTGCCCCGCCTCTGGACAGCCCCCAACACAGCCCCGCCCCAGAACAGCCACGCCTTTGGACAGCCCTGCCCCGGGACAGCCCCACGTCTGAACAGATGGACCCTGGAACAGCCCTGGCCCAGGACAGCCCCGCCTCTGGAAAGCCCCGCTGCGCCTCGGCAGCTGCAGTCTACCCCGACTCGGGCGAAGAAGTGTGAGTATTTCAGTCCATCTGTCTCCTAGAGTGCAGGCGGGTGGCCGAGCCGCTGGGGGACACTGGAAGGGTGCGCCCCAAGGAGCCAGAAGGAGCCGGACACCATTCCAAGTGGGCGAAATGTCTCTTCTCTTAGGTCTAGGTTTTCCATATACTTTCGTTAATCTGCTGCTATTTGCCAATTGTATCAAAATATATTTCAGTATTCTCTGAACTTAACGACAAACTTGTGCGTGTTACCTGCGGTGCCGGCCCTGCTTGCGCATGTGCAAGCACATTTAAGTGGTGTCTCCGGGTTTGCGTTTCAGGACCGATTACTCATCTGGGGTTTTTGTGTTTTCCTGTCAGACTAGGGAGAAATGAAAGACTGCTTTGTTTTCGCAGTTAGTTAACAGGATCTTGAACTCCAATTTCTTGATCTCACGCTGCTGCCCTTTCCCACTCCTAAACTCTAAGCTGAGATCACCCAATGCTCTTACTATCCTGGAAACAATACTATGAAAGAGGAGGTAGATGGGAAAGGGAATGAGGGAGAGATTTCCACAGGAAATGCAGGGCACACTCAGGGATGCCAAACCTACTAGAGAATTTCTGAAAGACAGTGACAGGGGGAAAAAGTCTCATAAACAATGGAGTGCCAGACCTGGAGGACTTAAAATCCAGGGTGAGACACAGCAAGCTTCACCTCGGGGGCAGTGGATGCCATGTGAGAGTTCTTATTGGATTTTAAGGAAGAATATTGTAGATTGGAATGCAACCTGGGGACTAGAACCAGGTTTAGTCTACACATGAATGTAAACCAAAGGGCTTGACATTGGAGAAGATTGGCAGAAGGAACTGGTTGGAGACAGAGGGCTCAAGTTGTTTGACCCCTGATTTAGGTTCTTTCCTCAAAGCAACACCTGATGCAAGGACTGGCCTGCTGGTGGTTTATTTGGGAAGACAGCCCCGAAAGCCCCAGTGACGAAATGGGGAAAATGATACCCGGAAGGAGGGAACCCAGTAAGGGCTTGTGGCTGAGCTCTTGCCACTGTTCAGAGGAGCTCAGTCCCTCCAGGGCCATCTGACGGGATGCTGTGAGATGCACCTCAAAAGACTCTAGGAATGTATCCATGGCTCCCTCCACTGGGTGAAGGTACCTAGAATGTCCATAACCACATGTGGGACTAACCTGTGCATCTGAGTGTACAGGAAAGTCCCCATGGTGAGCCCCTAGGTGGGGTGAGGGAAACAGCAGGGACACCCAAAGCACCAACTGCATTGCCCATGTTGCTTGGGGAAGCTAAAAGGGCAAAGCAGGATGAGCATTGAGTTTTCTCAGTATTCACTGTGCATACCATATGTGTGCACATCTTCAGAAACTGTCCTCCAAAGGATGTGATTCTCATTTTACAGGTGGAAAACCAAGCCCAAATAACTTACCAGAAGGCACTGCTCTGAAGGGAACAATGTAATGAGTTCAGTGTTAAGCACACCAAATTATAAAGACCTCCAGAAACTCCAGAATACCAAACAGGGACCTCCCCAGGCAGATAAGATATAGCAACAGGCATTTCCAGCTCACATAGTCAAAGCTGTCCAAACCAATGCAGTTTCTGGCAAGTGATGTGGCTTTTCTGTCCAAGGAAATCAAAATGAATCGACCAATGCACACCAGCTTAACCCTGGCCTTGACCTGAGGGCATAGGAAGGAGCTGGATCTGGTCCTCCCTGCCCTGGTTCTCCAGCTACCCTGGTGCTTCTTCACGGATCAGGGGCCAGGCCTGTAATGCTCAGCCCCTGCCACCTTGTGGGTTTTCCCTTTAATACCACCTTCTCATCAGTGTCCTTCCTGCCATCCAATCTGAAATATCCTCCAGTCCCTCCATATCTCACTGCCAGGCTTTACTTTCATGACAGGGATTATTTGATGCTGCATTGTATGTCTCTTTGCCTTCCTGTTTATTCATTGTCCTGTTGGGGTCCTTTTCTGTTTTGTCCCTGGATTTACTCCTAGTGTGAGAACATGCATGGCTCACAGTGGGGAACCAGTACAAGTTGCCAGGTGAATGAATTTAGTTCTTTGCTTCACTCCTTCCTCCATCTGTTCTGACCAACCTGAGACTTTGCTTTTCTCTGCAGCAGCTGGTAGAACCATGGCACCAACTCCTGATGCTGCTTTCGAGACCCTCATGAATGGAGTGACCAGCTGGGATATCCCCAAAGGCCCCATCCCCAGTGAGCTCCTTCTTATTGGAGAGGCCGCCTTCCCAGTGATGGTGAATGACAGGGGCCAGGTTCTCATCGCTGCCTCCTCCTATGGCCAAGGCCGCCTCGTGGTCATGTCCCATGAAGGCTACCTGTTACATGCGGGCTTGGCTCCATTTCTCCTCAATGCAGTGGGCTGGCTCCGTTCCTCCCCTGGGGCTCCTGTTGGAGTGCACCCATCCCTGGCATCACTAGTAAACCTCCTGAAGGGCTCCGGGGTTGAGGCCCAGATTGAGCCAGAGCCTAGAGAGGCCCTGGGTGTTTACTGCACCAGTGCCTACAGTAATGGCTTGACCGCGAGGCTGGTCCAGTTTGTGAAGCAGGGAGGGGGCTTGCTGATCGGGGGCCAGGCCTGGTATTGGGCCAGTCAGCATGGCCGTGACAAGGTGCTGTCCAGCTTCCCCGGGAACCAGGTGACAAGCATGGCTGGAGTGTACTTCACTGACATCCATGGGGACAGAAGCCACTTCAAGGTCTCCAAGAAGGTGCCCAAGATCCCGCTGCATGTCAGGTAAGTGTGCCTTTCCTAGTTAAAGAGTGTAATCATGCTTAACAATAGGCTCGATCTCCTCACCTCCAGTGACCTTCCATTTCAAGACCAGTGGTTTTCCACCTAGGTTTGGAACCACCACAAATCAAAAAGAGCACAGTCAAATGCCCCAAGACACAAGAGGGGTTGGTCCTCCCCCCGTGACCAAAGCAGTATCCACTTAATAGGAAAGCTTGTCTTAGAGTCCATCTCCGTGTGCCGTGCCTAGTACATAGAGAGTGCTTATCAATTTCTCTTAAGTCAAGGAATCAACTGTGGTTTGCAGAGCTCTTTATTATGGGCCAGGCCTCATTCTTTTTTTTTTTTTTAATTTTTATTTATTTTTTATTTTCTTAAATACATGACAGCAGAATGCACTACCATTCTTATTACACATATATACCACAATTTTTCATATCTCTGCTTGTATATAAAGTTAGATTGACATCCAATTTGTTTCTTCATACATGTACTTTGGATAATGATGTCCGTCACATGTATAGTAGAGGTCTAGCAGAGATCAAAACAGTCAAACCATGCTGTTATGAAGCTTTATTCCACTGAAGAATTGGACAATTAGGGAACCAAATAGAAAGTTCCCTATCAGCTTTTAATAAGAACCACAAGGTAAAATAAAGTTGGGGGCTGGGATTGTGACTTAGTGGTAGAGTGCTCGCCTAGCACGGGCGGGACCCGGGTTTGATTCTCAGCACCACATAAAAAAAAATAAAAGGCATTGTGTTGTGTCCATCTACAAAAGAGATATTCTCTCTCTCTCTCTCTCTCTCTCTCTCTCTCTCTCTCTCTCTCTCAAAATAAATAAATAAATAAAGTTGGGCACAGAGCTCGCCTGATGTGACAAGGAGGTGGGTACAGGTTATTATTATCTGGAGTCTATGGGGAATGCAAATGAGTCAGCTAAGCCAGGGTTTGATGGTACCTAATCAGAAGGAGGGAGTGTAAGGAGCAAGGGTAAAAACCTAATCCTAAGCTAGTTTGGTGCATTCCAGGAAGATCAAGGAAGCCAGAATGATTAGAGCTGAGTGAATAAAGTCTGGATCAACAGGAGGTGAGGCTATATGAGAACTGTTTGTCCACAGCTAGAACCACAGATGTTCATAGGGTGATGGAGAGGCAGTTTGGAATTCATATAGAGGAATGATTTGATGTGACTGTTATTTCCAAAGGAACCCTCTTCCTGAATGTGAACAGACTATAGGAAGCAAAGGTTGAAGTAGGAGATGGATCAAGGGGCCCCTGAAATAGACCCTGTGAGAGGTGGTGGTGACCAGTTAGGTTGTAGCAATTAAACTACTGGGAAGTGGTTCATTTGTTGGGTACACTTCAAAGGTAAGACACAGAAGTCTTGGCTGGTGGACTGAATAAGGAGAAAGAGGGTTAAAGAGCAGTTGAAATGTCTGGCCAGAGTGACTTAGAGGCAGGCGGGTATTGCCAAATGGGACATTACAAGAAGACAGATTACAGGAGATTGGGTGTTTGATTTTGGATATTTTGTGTTCAAGATATTAGAGACTGTGTTTTTCCATGTATAACAAAAGTCTGACTACAGTGAATTAACCACGAAGGAGTATTTTTCTCATGCCACTTGAAGTCTATGGAGGTAGGTAGTCTGACCTGTGGCAGAGCCTCTCCTGTGTCTCCCGTTCATTCTCTCTCTGTCTTTCCTGTCATGGAGTGTCACTTTTATCCTGATAGGCACGAGATGGCCAGTACTCGCTCAGTCACTGGAATTACACCCAAGCAATAATAAGCCAGACTGGGTGCACCTGCTGGGCCTGTCTTCTTTAGAAAATCCTATTTTCTGGAAGCCCTAACCATTTATTGTCCTGCCCAAGGAGGGATCAGATAACAGCACGGAGGTGTGAGCTGACTGAGAAATTAAAAGTCTGAAATAATTAGTAAGATATAAAAGACAAAAAAAAAAAAAAAAACCCACAGGAAAAAAGTTTCACAGTGGGGCCTGATGAGTGGATTGGACCTGATGGGTCGGATCTCTAACAAAGGAAAGAAGCGACCCCATCCATGCTTTATTAATAGTGAAACACATCGAAGGGGGATTTATTGTGAGAAATTTTGCAGGATAAACAGGAAGCCAGAGGCTGTGGGGACTGGCCTGATTGGAGACCTGTCACTTGTGCAGTGTTCTTCCTTCTCCAGGCAGCTGGCGCCCCAGGCTGTTTGGGCACACTGGCATGGCTTTCAC